TTGAGGCCAAAGAGGTCCTAGAAAATAGACCCTCTAAATGGGATTCAGGATTGGGTTGCTGGGAGGAGCCCAGGGATAACCTTGCTGGGAGGAAAATAGAATTTTAGGGCATCAAATTTTTCAAATTGTCACTGGTGGTAGAATTGAATAAAAGTGCAGGCAGAGGGCAAGGTGTTGAGAGATCAAGTGGCTATAGCATCCAGTTGCTATGGTGAAAATAATGATTTTAAAGATTTGAAGCCATCTGGATTCTCCTGTCACCTTAGAGAATGAACATAGGGAACAAGAGCAACCAAGATCTGTGAGCACACAATTAAGAACTAGAAGAGAATAACCTGAAGGCTCTTATGGCGGTTTTGAAATAGTTCCTCATTTTCAGTGGCTGCAAGGCAAATGTGGCTGAGGACCAAACCCCACTCTGATGGAAACAGTTGCAGAATTGCAGCACCAATTAAATTCACAACCTGGTCAGAGATATGGTAAGAGAATTTGTGAAGAACATTGAATAAGGCACTTGTGTAGACATCAGTAAGGCTAAGGACATGCCCACCCCATTCCTCTGGACCTCTCTTGTCAATGAAAACGGTAGGTATCCCTTATCCGCCTGTTTGAGGGTGTCAGACCTTCTCTCCATTAAAGCTTATTCTTCACTACACCTGGGGCATTTACCTCACAAGCTGATACCAAATCTCTTCAATGCCCATGACCACCATTGTCATTGGCTTCAGGCCCATAATGAGACTTAGATCCCAACATAAGCCTGACAGAAAAAATGCAAGCATCCTTGCTCTTAGTGGAGATATCTAAGATTACTGAAAGAATTACAACACCTCAGTAATTGTATTAGCAAGAGGCTGGAGAGCAAGTGTGGGAGTAGATTTTAAGATGGAGCGACTACTGCTCTCCGTAGTTGTCTCGGGCCGGAACTCCGAGCCAGGCTGGGGGCGGGCCTTCCGGGAAGGGGGGCGCGGGAGAGGAAGGTCACGACTAGGTAAGGCTGTCCCTGACTTTGGGGGGCTCTGTAGTGAGATACGGACGGTGGCTGTAGAGGTCCTGCGGGGGTCTCCAAGCTTCTAGAGTCGTCAAGAATAGGATGAGTCAATTTCATTATTAACCCGCTCGGAGGTTTCAGAGGTATCACACGAACAACTTGGCCTTTTCCTGCGTAAATTGGGGGATTTACCAAACGAAGGACGCTAGCGTGCTTTCCTCAGGCGCAGTTACTCGCTTCCTGATTAGGCAGCGTTCAGGGCTCAGTTTCTCTGCTCATCAGACCGCCTTCTGCACCGTAGCTTTGTCTGGGGGATACAGATTGATTTTGTTACCAGCTTAAGAAAAATATGATAAAGTGACACTTAAAAATATTCCCGAAATACCCTACCGATTCAAACGTCGGTTGACACTGTTGCTTCCATCACAGGCAGGCGTGATTGAGTCAGTTGGAGGGGGCTGAGGATGTTCTTGTTGAACTGAACAAAGCTGACATATATTCAGAGTCGCTCATGTCTCTACGACCCAGTGAAATAATCGGTACGGGGCTTTAAAAATAATAAATCGTGTGTTTAGATTTTTTGTGAAAAAAAAAAAATAAGATGGAGCAAATACAAGTTACACTTGAGTTGAATTCATTGTCATGGGTGCAAACATCTGGGACCTGGGATATAGTGTGTTGCGTTTAACACCAGAAAGAACAACCTATTAAGTTGGCTAATTAAAGCCTGGAATCAAACTTGACTTGCTTCTAACAACATCATTTCTCACATACCATAGAGAAAGGTATTCAGAGATGCAGGGTGATGGACTATTGGAATGGAAATATTATTACTCTCTTCAGTGTTAAGAGATGTTTTGAAAGAGAGGCAAAGGCATTCTTGAAGCGCTTTGTAGTGTTTGTTTTATGTAGGCTGAAGATGACAGTGAAAATGGCCACAACTGAAATGGGTTTCTTGATCTTAATGGTACTCATATATTTCCAGAGTGGCAGAGGCCAGAGGGGCTTGTGTCAGAGACAAAGTGTCATAATTACCACATTATGGAGGAGTGGAGGAGTAATCATAGTGGTTTGTTCCAGAGTAATCTGTGCCAATGACAACGTGATCACAGCTCACTACATATGAAATAGATGGACAGCCGATTAAAGTGCTTACTGATATCTTTAAGCAGAGGTAAGAGAGCGTGCGTGATGTGTTTGCCTTACCCCTAGCTCATCTCTGACCTAGTTCCTCAATGATTGTTTTTGCTGCTGAGGGTCTGATGGTTCTTGAACCCTAACTGTTCCTTTTTGCTGTCTCAGGTTGAGCCCTGCAGTTACTTCCTCTCTCTCTTTGTAGGCTGGATGCCTGGTCCTTTCTGCAACTCTCCTTGCTGTTTCCTTTTGTAGCCTGTGCATTCTGTGCTGCCCTTTGGGAATGATCACACAGTCTTGAGGTTTTTGAATGCTTAACTCCTGCTCTGTTCCCTTTTGTGTATTGACTTTTTAAAGGCTCTCGATACATGTTGTCAAACTGGCTCTCCAGAAAGGTAGTAATTATTTTCATTCCCATTAGTGGTTATGAGTTACGATTTCTTGACAGTCCAGCTAAAATTGAGTGTTATTATTCCTTTTATATGTTGTCTATCAGCCCCAAATATTACCTTTTATGTTTTTATTAGTGAAAATAGTACTTTCTCTTATTTATTGGTTATCTTTTTTCATGAATTTTTTTGACCATTTTCCACAGATGTTCAACTTTGTTTTTGCTTTTAATAGATTAATATCAAACTATATTACATATTCATATATTTAATGCATCTGCAATGATATATATGTAAAATTAAGTCTTTTTCTCACAGCAATTTGAAGTGACAATTAATGATATGCTAAATTCTTATAAACATCTAGGTTTAGTTACAACCAGTTCTGTCCCAGAGATGTCAATTCCTAGGTTAGGATCAAAATATGTTACTAGCATAGTAGTAACGTTCCCATTATTATCCTCTTTTCAAAAAAAATGTTCATACCTATTTTGTTTCTTCTACAAAATAACCTTTATATTCATTTTGTGAAATAATGTTCCCAATGACATATTTGAATTCTTTTTATAGTTTAATATGGGGAGATTCAACATCTCTAGAATAGTTATCTCATCCAGAAATCTCTTTCCATTTATTCAAGGTATTTTTTGAGGGAAGTGGAGTATATGTAGTATACCTGAATTCAATTATTAAATCTAAGTTCTTCAACTGATTTTTTTAGGTTGTCCTGATGGCCTACCATATCAGCAAATGATTTTCTCCAATTTCCATTTATTTTCCTTCTCTCATTATTTCAATTAGCACTTTCAGAGACCCAAATAATTGTGGAGATAAGAATTTTATTTTTTGCCACCCTTTTAGGATAAAGTCTACATTTTGAAGGTGGCTTACAAGGCCTTTCATGATCTGGCCTTTGAGTCTCTCCCCTAGTCTCTCTCCTCTCTGTATTCCTGCTCCCTTCTATTCCAGTGCCATAGTCCAGTCAGTGGACGTCTGTTTCCTGATGTCATGCCCTCATTCCCCTGTAGCTTTGTACTCGTTTTTCCTTTATCATCTCTCCTAACATTCTCACCCTCCACCACACACAATCTAATTTCCATTCTTTCTTCATTTTTCAGCTTAGATATCTACCCTTGAATGCACACAGTAAAATTCAAATATTTATTAAAGAAATAGGTTTATGGAAAAAGGCTCAGGGAAAATGTTAATGGACTGTAAATACTTTGCAAAAATTAAATTTTAAACGCATTCTAAAGAAGTATTCTTTGAAGCTATGTATGTTTAATTTAGTAAATAATAAACACCTTTTATTTTTTAGAAAGCTTAGAGATTTAGGAGAAAAACATAACCATTTTACCCAGACCCAAATAGCTAGCTGTTGAGAGAAGATAAAAAATGAAAATAGTACTTTTATCTTTCAACCACCCAAAAGAAAATCATAGCTTATAAAATAAAGCAAACTATTAGATTCAGAACACCCAAAATAAGAAAGTCAGAGTCCATTGTATTAAACATGTAATTGCTTTGATGAATGACTCAACTATATACCTCAAGAATTTCTTACATTCATAGTGTTTTCCCCATTAGGATCCTCTACATTTCCTTATGTTTATATGAATTTTCATACTTATTTGTGTAGGGTTTTGTATTAAAGAATACAACTTGTGATGTAAAGGATGAACAAATGAACGGAGAATAATTTCCCACATTTATTAACTCATCATAGGGGTTCACTCCAGTATACCTTTTCTGCTTTTGAATAAGGTATGAACTCTGACAAAGAGCCACCATCATCATTCATTGGGAATGTCTCCAGTATGAATTTTTGGGGCAGATTATGATAAGCTTCTTTGCTCAAGATCCCTTTGGGATCCTGAAGTAGCTTACAGAACAAAGAGGCAGTTCTGGTGCACAGAGCATTAGGCAACTTTATTAACCTTTTAATGTTTGGAATAAATGACAAACCTAGGGCTATGGATGTCTCTCCAGCCTAGATCCCAAAGAGTACTTTAAAAAATGCAGATACTGAAGAATACATGTAGATTAACAACACATCCACCTCCCACTGCAGTTGATAACCCTCTTACAATTCTAGTCCCCACTCAGCACCAGGACAGCCAAGGGTGGAGTACTGGGCTGTCACTGTGGTCTTTGCCATTAATTCAGAGAATTCAGTCCACAGAAGTGTCCTCCTACATTCTTGTGAGCTCCTGCTTCCTTGTGAACTTATAAGGACTGAAAGTTTGAGTTTTATTAAATATCAACTCCAAGGGTATTGCTTGGCTCCTCCTTAATATCTACTTCATCAATAGATCAGGTGAATATAAATATGCCACAGGTCCCATTTATGAAGTAGGGAGAGATCATGGTAATGGGTATCAGAATGATAGACAAACACTCATTTGCTGATACGTTTAACTCCAAACCGTTGTGGTTTCATTTGGGAGCCTGGAAAAACTCCCTTCGATTTCTATCTACTAACAGATTTCTCTCCAATATTAATTGTCATATCAATTAAAGAATAATCTCTGTCAAATATTTTCTTCCATTTACTATATTCATAGGATTCCTTCCAGCATAAAGTCACAGATGTTGAATGAGTTCTGCACTCTGAATGAAGGCAATCCCGAATTTCTGCCTGTTATAGGACTTCTCTTGAGTTGTCCTCTAACTATGAAGTTTCTGGTGTTTTTTAAGGTTTGAACTCCTATTGAAGGTTTTCTCACATTCCTTACATTTGAATGGTTTCTCTCCTGTATGAATCATTTGATGTCGAATAAGTGAGGAGCTCCGGCTGAAGGATTTTCCACAGTTACACTCATAGGGATTATTTCCAGAATGGAGTCCTGGATTTATATTACTGTCTTCACCCTTAGTGAAGGCTTTGCCACACTGATTGCCTTTGTAGGCCTTTGCTTCAGCATGAATTTTTTGATGCTTAGTAAGGTTTGTACGTCGGTTGAAGCATCTCCCACATTCACTGCATTTGTAGGGTTTCTCTCCTGTATGAATGATTTGATGTCTAACAAGGGATGAACTCCGGCTGAAGGCTCTCCCACATTGATAACACTCATAGGAATTCATTGTGGTGTGACTTTCTGGGTGTTGAATATCTGGACTCAGGTTCAAGGCATTGTCACATTCATTATGTTCTGAATGTTGCTTACCTACTGAGTCTAAATTAAATGTGAAGTTAGTTTTAAACTTATCACACTTTAGGGGCCCCTTTCTTATAGGAATTCCTTGTTGTGTATCAAAAGTTGAGTCAACTGAGTTAACATGAGAGCTTTTCTTATTTTCACTAGATTCAAAGTCACCTTCCTCAGTGTAGATTGTCTTATGAATGAAAGCTTCTTGTGGCAAATTTATGTCCCAGTGTTCCTGGTTGCTATGTAACCAATCATCACTTTTCCAGCCATCTAAAGAAGGGTGTCCACTCTTGGTCAGTCTTGTCATAATCACTCCATGGGATGCTTCTTCTCCAGAAATTCTCTGCTTTGGAACTGAATCTTGGTTTTCTGAAACTGTCTCTCTGTCTAAAAAGAAATAAAAAATTCCATGAACTAGAAGAAGGGAAATTGTTTAATTAGGAAAGAGAGGCTAAACCATATCAGGGTAAATGCATATTTTATGGATCTTAAATACAGAATGGAAATGTGAGGTGAGGTTAGAAAAGGACAATTACAGAAGAAATAAACTGGATAAAAATATTAAAAAGGGGGTCAGGAGATCATAAAATGTGAGGAGAGCTATTCAGGAATACTAAGGAGAATATGTAGGGCTTGGGTAACACATCAGCATATCAACTGGGATGAGTGGCATATCACAGTTCAAATTACCACTGGTGCATAACTAGTCTGTGAAGGTTATGCCTGATCTTCTTTTCCCTAGCGACTTGTCTCTTTTAACCCAAGCTGTTCACCAATAATAAATAAGCTCTTAAAATACCAGCTTAATCACATCTTTAGGAACATGTCTACAATTACAGGCACCATACCTTAACCAGCTAAAGCAGACTTGCAATTTTAGTGCCTCTATTCTCTAGACAACTGCAATTATTCCCTGTATTGAACAGAGGCAGAAAAAACTGTAATATAAGGTAGCAGGGAAATCATCCTTTTTCTGGGCTCAAAACCACTCCTGATTCCAACAGTGCTATGATATTTTTCTCTGTATTTCCTAGAACTCAAAACTTCACCTGTTCTGAGTAACGTTAGATTCTTTTCACCTGTCTTCAGTTTCTTTCATTTAATAATGTTCTGCTTCTCAAAATTCCTTTCTCACTTAAGCTTCTGTACAAATATGCCCAGTATGCTATATATTTTAGCAATTAAAATTAAATTTCACTGACTGCCCTTTATCCTTTTCCACATAACTTCAGGTACATCTAACAATTTTATCTTCAACACTTTATTGGTAGCCAAATCACATCTTCATATATTATCGACCCTTCTTTTTACCAGTCTCCAGGACATCTCCACTTCACTATCCTACTTCTCTCTTCCAACTCAACAAAGAGCCTGAGAATATCATCCTCCACGTGGAAAGAACTTCCCTCAATGTCCTCATTTTTGTTCAGTGAGTCACTGTTCTTGTCCTATTTACACTAGAGTCCATGAAGAGATGCTGAATAACCATTGCTCTTTCTCTCTCATATCTAATCTCTCCTTAGCTACTATTATTTTATGAAATGATTTTTACCTCAAAGCAGCCCCACTGATACATCCAACTTTGTCAAGTACCTAGCAATTCAGCCTAGTTTACTCTAATTTCGAGCAGAAATTATCATTTGTCTGTACAATACCCAAGCTGGGAGCTAGACTGTTAAATCAGAATCTCCTGGGGTGGAGCCTAGGAATATAATGGGAGTGTTGATTGTGGTTTTCCTGCCTCTGCCTCACCAGTGTACACTGGGTGGGTGGTGCAGATGACTTGTCCCTTTGTTCATAGGCCTTCAGAGAGAGAGGAACCTCTTCCAAACCTGAACCTAATTTAGATGATGAGATCCTGGACTTCGAGCTTGATGCCATAATGAGATGAGGTCTTAGGAGAGAGGAAATGTATCTAACAAGGGGGAAAATAAAGATAATTTGTGGCCAGCATACAGACCATAGTAGATCAAAAAGGCTGCACATTTTCTGACACTGTCCCCATAGAAAGGGGAGTTTATCTTTGTTCCCCTTGAATCTGGGCTGATTCTGTGACTACTTAGCCAACAGAATGTGGCAGAAGTGATACTATGCTACTTCTGGGCCTAGCCTTTAGGAGACTGAGGAGACAAGGAAAGGCCAGGTGTAGGTGCTCTGGTTCACAGGCCCAGTTCAGTTCCCAGTGACAGCCAGCATCCACTTCCAGCCCTGTGATGAGCCATCTTGACCATTCCATGTCAGTCAAACACTGCATCCTTAGCCAACACCATATGGAGAGTAAGAATTCCTAAGTCAACTCACAAGATTGTGAGAATTAATAAAATGATTGCTGTTTTCCATCACTAACCTTTGGAGTAATTTGTTAGAAGCAATAGATAACCGAAATAGTAACTGTTCCAGCAGCATTTATTGAATGGCAAAATTCCTAATTGTATTTCCCTAAATAAATCTTTGTTGTTCTTCTCATATTTGTACAATTCATTTTTCATGTAACTTCCTTACTCCTATTTTTAAAATCACTTTCACATATTTTGTTATTTTTAAGTCACTTAGTTCTAATATGTAAGAAAGCTACTAATATTTTTATTTTATGTCTGGCTATCTAACAAAACTCTTAGATATAATAATTTTGAAAATGAGTCTTTTGGATTTTCTAAGTAGAAAGTTATTTGCAAAGAATATTTTTTTTCTCCTCTTTTCTATTAATTAAATTTTTCATTTGTTTCATTTATTTTTCTTTCATTAGTTAAGTCTTTTAGGTCAATATTAAATAATTATGGTACTAGGCATTATCTGTTGATTTTAGTGGTAACAACATTGTTTATCTTCACAGATGATACCAACTCATGATTTGTTCTCCTTTTGCTCTGCCTAAATAGGTTTCCAATCACTGGCTTATTCCTGACCACTGAATCCAAACTCACAAACTGTGCTTCATCTACAAGACTTTGCTTCTGTCTCTAACCTAAAACAAAAACGAACACTTTAAACTTTGGCCTACAATCCCACTCCTGGGTCTCTGCCTACATCTCTCCTGGAGACTAGCCCATGCCAACCCACCTCTGCTTTTCTTTGGCCTATCTGACAATTTCCCCCAACTTCTCAAATCACTCCAGTGGCTTATCTGTGCTTATAGATTAAAATCCATAGGTCTCAACTAGCTAATTAAGCTGTCAAAAATTTGGTTTTATACTGTCTATCCAAATACCTTATACTGTCTCATAAACTTGGATCACTGGCTCTTAAACCTAAATGTGCATCTGAATCATTTGGTGAGCCTTTAAATTATATATGTGTGTGTGTATGTATACATATTCCCTGTGGCTAGGCTGGGCTTCTCATGAACATAGCGACATCAGGGTAGTTGAACTAACGGCTGCTGACTTCCAAGAGAAAGAAGTGGAAGCTGCAAGTCCTATTACACGCTAGACCTGGAAATGGCACAGTGTTACTTCCGCTGCATTTACTGGTTAAACAGTCTAGTGCCAGCTCAGATTCAAGAGGAGGGGAAACAAAGCCCACTTCTTGATGGAGACAGTGACAAAGATTTTGTGGCCATCTTTAATCCACCACAATCCAATAACTGTTTGGGAAAATAAATTACATTTACTGAAGTAAATTCCAGATTGATTAAAGTATTTTATTTAAATGATGAAATTAGAATAAAATCAGGAAGTATGTATCTTAGTTTTGGGATGGAAAAATTCTTATGTATAAAATTAACAGATATAAAACAATAGGGGAAGATATCTGATAAATTTTAAAAATATATATGGCAGACACCAAAAATAAAATTAAAAAACCTCAGAGATCTCATTTGCCACAACTGAGGTCAATGGTGAGAATTTACATAAGATCTTAATGTATTCCTTAAAAACCTCTAAAGTTTTAATAGATAAAGGACATAAAACAACCATTTACTGAATCACAAGTGGCCAAAACAGATGAATTAATTTTTACCTTTCTCATAATCAAATACCTATCCATTTTTTTCTTTGGTTTCTTTATACGTGTAAAGGGCTGGAGATATAAAGATAGGGCAAAAGAGACATGGCCCCTACCCTCCAGGAACATAAAGCCTAGTGTGGAGACAAAGACGCACATAGATACATGCGAAATACAACTGTGTTAAATGCTAAAAGGAGAAAGATATGGGGCTACGGGAATATATAACAGAAAAAACTAATCTGGTCAAGAAAGTCTTCCCTGAGGAAATCTGGACCTCTTGAGATCTGAAGGAAGACGAGAAGTCAACTAGGAAAGAATAGGAGAAAGAGCATGTTACGTAAAGAAACAGCACGTAGAGAGGTCCTGTGATGGGAGAGGGCAAGCCACACTCAAGGGACAACTGGAATGTGTTTCCTATGGAACTGTCTTCGCTCTGCATTACCCCAGCACCTACCAGAGTGCTTGGGACACAGTAGATGCCAATACATATTCGATGTTGACTGACTGAAAGATCAGTGTGGTTCAAGTGCAAAGAGTAAGGGGAGGATGTAGTGTGAGAAGAGGCTGGAGAAGTGTGTTGTGAAGTAAGTGTGTTGAGTAGTGTGTTGTGTGTTGTGAAGAAGGGAAAACTGAAATCAGTATAGTGACTAAGCAAGTATCTGACAAAATCTGACCTCTTTGATTGCAGTGTGGCTCAAACACTGGAATTGGGGAAAAAACAGAGAGCTCAGAGGCATACCGAGATCTTTTATTAAGACAATTAAGAGACTATGGCAACAGTTCAGTTGAGAGATGATGGCGACACATGGACGAGGGTACTGGTACTGCAGAGGGAGAGAAATGGAGACATTCAAGAGATATTTAGGAAGTTAAAATAAAAACAAATAAGAGATAGGTGAAGGAGAAGGTCTGTCAAGGATAAATCTTAAACTACACTTGTATACCTGGGTGGATGGCAGTTCACTCTGCTAGGCAACAACGAAAGAAGATGGGAAAGGAAAAGATTATGACTTTGGTTTTACAAATTTAAGGCATCTTTAAGACATCCAAGAGAAATGTCACGTGCATATAAATTTTTAGTTCAGAAAAGAAGCCTGAGCTGGGATGTAAATTTGTAAGTCACCTGTCTACGCGTGGCAACTGAAGTTGTAGCTGTGGATGTGACAACCCAGGGAGGAAAATATAGACTTAGAGGAGAAGAGAAAATGAGATCAAATGCTGAGAAACTTGGAAGTTTCTGAAATTTGGATAGCTAGGGAAAGATAAGCCTACAATAGACAGAGACAGAATAGCCAGAAAGAAGAGGAAAATCAGAAGTATTACAAGAACCTACGAGCGTTTTAAGAATGAGGAACAGGTAACAGTGCTGCTTTCTGCTGAGAAGTGAGACAAGGAATGAAAATGCGTCCACCGGAGTTTGCTACGATCAAGTTACTGACGACCTCAGCAAGGGCGGTTTCAGACAAATATCTGGGGTAAGAGCTACACCAGAATGGGGTGAGGAATAACACGTGAGGAAACGAGAAAAGCAAGTATAAAGCATCTTGAGAAGTTTGGCTATAAAGAAGAGGTAAGAAAGACAGTAATAAAAGAGAATGTGAGGTTGATAGAAAAATTTTAAAAATCAGTAATGACCTGAAAATGCTAAAAAGCTAACAGGAGGATGAGGCAGAAATGGTGAAAATACAAGTGAAAGAAGGCAGGAAAAAATAGGATCCACAGGATAATTGAGGGGGAGGATTCACCTCAGAAAGGAAGAAATAGAGTAATCTGCCTATCAAATTAAAAAAGATTTCAGGTAAACAATACCCAGTGTTTGCTAGGGTGACAACAATGAATAGAGATATAATAAGACTCTCATTACCAGTGAGAGTATCAATTGCTGCAGACAATGTAGCATAATGTAACTAGACCGTTAAATATATTTATACCCTTTAATGCTGAAATTCTTCTCCTAATAAGGTATCCTGTGGAAGTCATCAGACATGCCTGAAAAATTGGCCACAACCCAAATGTCCAACAGTTGGTGGTGGGAGGATGGTTAAATATATTGATACATGTATGTGATGGAATGTTATATGTGAATTAGAAACCACATTTTCATGGACTATTTAGTAAAATAGGTAAATACTCACGGTATCATATTAGGTGAGAAGAGCAGAATATATAATGACATAATCCTGATGACCCCAATTTTGGAAATAGAGAAATCTTCAAGACACATCATCACAAACAAAGAATACAGCTAAGAAAACGAACCACATGTAAATACTGCATAACTCTGGGTAGTGAGGTAATGGGGGGAGTTATATTCCTCTCCATACTTTTCTACACGTTCTAACATTTATACTAAGCACATCGTAATTTATAATCTCTCACAAACAAGATGTTAATAAGAATGAAGAGATTATGGCGAGGGTAGGGCGTTGAAGCACGAGTGAAGGAGATCTATAGTAAGAGAAGGAAAAATGGAGGATTACTGAAGCCACTCCAGAATAAAGCAGTTTTTTAATTTTCTTTAAAAGAAAGAATATCATTTAACGTTATGTTGGCTAATGTTTGTATATACAGCACTTATTGCACGCCAGGCACTGGTCTAAGTGTGTTACACACACCAACTCACTCAACCCCCACAGTAACGTGGAGGGAGACACTATTATTAACTCTGTTATAGACGAGGAAACTGGCAGGTGGGCTACACAGCTCTAAGTGTCTGTATTCCTACCCACAGCACTATTTTGCCCGTCCACAGAAGAGAAACAACCTGTGAAGGAAAAGCAATGATGACTTTTGATGCCTTTTTTTCCTTCAAAGTTTAGGTGATTTTGTTGTCATTTCCCCAATTATCAACTGTAAGTCTGGGTTGTACATTGTCAGTGTGTTTACATAGAAACTTCTTAACAAATGCCTCATATCTGCCTGGTTCTTACCAAAAACGGTTGTTCTTGGGATTTCTCTCTCCATTATCCATCTTTTTTTCTTACTCTCCAACTTGGAGATCTCAACTTGTTTGGAAAGTAGATGCTCTGTTCAGGGGGAAATGAAAACAACAAACATGACACTGTAGACATTTTCATAGGGAAGAGAATTCCACCCAACGTAGTAGTCTAAAGAGCTGCTGAAAGGTAAAGCCCGAGATCACCGTGGACCCGCGTGTTTCTAACTCTGCATCAGAAAAGACTTCCAACCAGACACAGCAGGAGAATCTGCTACTGTGCCCAAAGGATATTAGGAAAGCTGAACCCAAACCCAAGTGCCCTTAACCACTTCAGCAGTCCTACAGTTTTTAACAGGAGATGGAGAGACTATTAATGGTCAGATAGGTAAATACGTAGAAGCCACCTTTACGCAGTGAATTCAGGTTCCTATAGATCTCCAGCATCACATCCCTGTACAGGTTCTTTACAGCACGGTCCAGTTGCCCCCACTCTTCCTGGCTGAATTCCACAACCACATCTTTGAATGTCACTGGTTCCTAAAACATGAAGTTTCTAATTGAAAGTCACTCCCAAAAATATGACAAGAGGAGAAATGAATTTGGAAGGAATAGGGTAGGTGGCCAGAATCTTTCTATACAAGAAATTGACAGGACAATATATGGGGATCTAAGCGATGAAAATCAAGTTGTATTAGGGGCCTATCAACTTGGTACTCTGTGAGGGCTGCAAAAAGAAAAGAAAGTGCAGTCCGAACTCTACAGTAAGTTACATTTTGGTTGAGAAAAAGACAGTTGGAATAACTGTGGAACAAAAAATTACTATAGAGTAGCAGGAATAATTTATATAAAAGGAGTTCAGAACCAGAAGAGTTTAAGGTAGATTTGAGGGAAATTTGTTAAGAAGATTTAGGCTCTGCTAGTAGACGAGGTAGGGCATTTTCTGCAATTGAGAGACGCGGCCTGCTCACTCCTTATCTCACAGCCCAATGTCACCCTGTCAGACAGGCCTTTCCTGATTACCCAAAGTAGCCATCCTCCCGATCAGTTTCTACTGTACTGTTTCTTTCGTTTCTTTGTTATAATTATTATTATCTGCAATGATTTCACTTGCTTGTGTTTGCCAGTCTATCTCCACTAGGGTGTAATCTCCACAACGGCAGGGATTTTGCTGTTTACCATCACATTCCCAGCCCTGAGAAAGGTGTCTGGCATATTAGGCTCTGCATAAATATTTGTTATACAGGCCCTCAAACCATCAGTGGTTGCACTTCTCTCTCCAGCTTTCTCAACCTTGTCATTATTGGCACCTTCAGTCACACTGAAATATACATGTCTCTTCCTCTCCTTCAGAGCCAGTCTTTGAGAACAAGTCGTCTACATTCGTTCTGCCTACTTCCTCACCTTCTTCTCTTTCCTCAACCCTCTGCACCTGGCTTCTATTCCCATGCATGTTATTATCTCCACAAATCAGTGAATAGATGCTATGCAGGCTGAATTTTCCTGAACTTCTGAAGGATTTGTCCTTGAAATATCCTCATCCTTTGCTTTCAGTGACAGCATATTTTCCTGGTTTTCCTCTTCCACTTTGGTCCTTTCATTTCAGCATCCTTCGAAGGTTTCTTCTGCTCCTGCCTATTAAAGGACACTCCTTAGGATTCTGCCCTCGGCTCCTTTCACTTTTTTTTTTTTTTGGAGGAAGATTGGCCCTGCGCTAACATCTGTTGCCAATCTTCCTTTTTTCTTTTTTCTCCCCAAAGCCCAGTACATAGTTGTGTACCATGGTTGCAGAGTTGTAGCTCTTACATATGGGACACTGCCTCAGCGTGGCTTGATGAGCAGTGAGTAGATCCCACGCCCACGATCCGAACCGGCAAACCCCGAGCCACCAAAGCGAATGTAGGAACTTAACGGCTACGCCACCGGGCCGGTCCCTCCCTTCACTTTTAATTCTAAGCATTCTCTGGGTAGGCTCTATTTCAATAGCTTCAATTATCGTCTACAATCTTGAGGGAATAGATGCTCAGAGAATAGACAAAGATTAAATATTTCCCAAGAGTGTATCACCAACTAGAATAGGTCCAATGTCCTGTGGGAGAATAAGTCTCATGTCCTTAGATGGAACTATGTTTGGCAAAAGTTCCAAGACCAAAAAGGAAAAAGCAGGTCATTTCAGTAAAGAGTGGAATCCTAATTCACCTGGATTTGCCTGTTAGTGAGTCAGCTTCCATTTTCTCCTTCTTGATGCTCCCACTTCTGGAACAGGACAGAATCCTTGAAAGGCATATCTGAGGAAGATGAAGGAAAACATTAGGGAGACAATTTGCGGCCCTGGAGAAACTTTTAATGATTATAGTAGTAGTTTTAACATGATTTAGAATCATCATTAGAACTTTGAAAAAATAATGGTATCAGGCTCTACTAGCAATCAGAATCTCCAAGTGTGGGGCCCAGATCTTATATTTTTAAAAAGCTCTAACAGCAATTTGATATCCTACCAGGGGTTGAGATCTACTGGATCAGAGAGAAGAGGGCCAAAATAATATTTTGAGGTCTCATCGGTGGTTACAGCCAATTCCAAAAAATAATTTTAATCCTGTCAAAACTAAACCCTAACTAAGGCTTGGCCACCACAGGCTATAATTCTACTGGGAGCTAAGAATATTTTATCCAACCAATCCCTTCCCCCAACACAATGGGGAGAATTCTACTCAAGGTTCTTCTCCTCTCAGTTGTTCTGTGTACACTATACACTGACTCAGGCAGTCCAGTCATCTTGAACTACTGACTCTTCCAGGACATAAAAATCTCAGTGGCAACCAATTCTCTTCTTTAGCTCTTTGGCGAGAAGTATACCCAAGGGCCATTTTCCTAAAGTTTCTCCAAATTCATGAGTTACACCCATGATCCTTAAATGCCAGGCCATGGACCAACACTGGTCTATGAAGAAGTGTTCACTGATTCAGGGTGAAATAAGAAAAAACAGAAACAGTGTAGGGGATATTTTATAAGGACATTTTGTAATTAAAGGCAAAACTTGAAAAGAAATCCAAATTTCTCAGCAACATACCATTTGAATGCTGCCAAAAGATTACAGTCTGTTAACTTCATTCAGACTTCTATCACTTTATGAGGCCTCAGTCTGCTCAGCTCCATAATTCCTAGGACAGTCAATACAACATTGTTTCTTATTCTTGTCCTTCTTGGAAATATGCGAGATATCTTGAAAAGGCACAACATCCAGTCACCTATCTTCTTATTTATTGCTCTCACTGAATACTGTTTCCTTCCCTTAATCCTTCTTCCCTGCTGACTTCCTTCTTGAATCTTTACAGTTATGTTCTCTAAAACTCTCATTCCTTTCAAAGAAAAAATCACATACATTCTCAAGCTCTTCACAGAACATTCCTTCTCCCTTCTAATCTAAAATGGATCTTGACCATCATCAAGGCCACGTCTTTTCATCCTCCACTACTACGGTCTTGGAAGTTGTTTTGATATACACATACCTCTCCACTCCCACTTCCTCATAAAGATTTTTCTATTCTCATACAAAATACTCTTCTCAGAGGTTCATGCCCTTCAGCTATGGCCTTCTTGATGTTGTGATATACTAAACTATCACTCATTCATTTACTCAACATGTATTTACTGAGTATCTCCTATGTGGGAGGCACAAAAATGCCTGCCCTCAGAGAGCCTATAGTCTATTGTGAACAACAGATATTAAATAAGTAATTGTATTAGGTCAATAACATTTTGGTTACTTGGTTCACATCGTTGTTTTCCACCCCAAATCCTGCCAATATTACAATAAGTTACTTCAAAACTGGCACAGACAACCTTTCCAACAACACAGCCTGAAGACCCTTGACATCCTTATTTTTAATAACCATCAGCTATCAAGCTACTTCCTTTTTCATACTTGGGTCCTTATTACTTAGAATTGTTCTACTATGATAAGTTGAATAAATCAATCCCTAACTACATTTTCCTGCCCTTTCCATTTTCACTTTCTTACTCTTAGTATACTCTCCAACTTTCATCAAGGTCCCACCATAGTACATAGTACATAGTAATTTTCTCCCAGTCTATCACCCCTCTTGTGAGTCACTTTCTTCTCTCTGCAGCTTAGATTTCATGGTAAATCACTTTCAACACTCTTTTCTGAGTCTTCGAATTCCTCGAACACTTGTCCTTTGCCTCTAACACTTAGTTTGATCCAATAATCTCTCATCAACCCTTTGTAAAAATTGAGGTAAAATTTACATAACATAAAATTCACCATATTAACCATTTTAAAGTATACAATTCAGTAGTTTTTAGTCTGTTATGCAACCATCACCACTACCTAATTCCAGAACATTTTCATAGCCCAAAAAGTAATTCATACCCTTTAAGGAGTCACTCTCCATTCTCCCTCCCTCCCATACTGTCTTTATGGATTTGCATATTCTGGGAATTCCATATAAATTCAGTCATATGGTATGTGACCTTTTGTGTCTGACTTCTTTAAATTAGCATGTTTTGGAGGTTGATCCATGTTGTTGCAAGTATCAGTATTTCATTTCTTTTAATGGCTGAATAATAATCCATTGTAGGAATATACTATAATTTGTTTATCCATTCATCAATTGATGAACATTTGGATGGTTTCCACGTTTTGGCTATTATGAATAATGCTGCTATGAACATTCATGTACAAGTTTTTGTGTAAACATATGTTTTAAATTCTTTTAGGTATATGGTAATTCCATGTTTAACTTTCTGAGAAACTACCAAACTGTTTTTCCACAGTGGCTGCACCATTTTACATTCCCAAAAGCATCATACAGGGGTTCCAACTTCTCCACGTCCTCGCCAACACTTTTTCTTTTTATTTTATTAGTATAGCCATCCTAGTGGATGTCAAGTGTTATCTCATTGTTGGTTTGATATTCAATTCCCTAATGACTAATGATGCTGAACAATTATTCCTATGCTTATTGGCCATTTGTATATTTTCTTTGAAAAAAAATTTGTTCAAGTCATTTACCCATTTTAAAAATTGTGATGTCTTTTTGTTGTTGAGTTGTAAGAGTTCTTTATATTTTCTCAATACTAAGCCTTTATCACATGTGATTTTCAAATATTTTCTCTCACTCTGCAGGTGAGAGTCCTTTTCACTTTCTTGATAGTATCCTTTGATGCACAAAAGTTTTTAATTTTGATGAAGTTTAATTTTTCTTTTGTTGCTTGTATTTTTGGTGGTATATCTAAGCATGAATTACCAAATTTAAAGTGATGAAGACTTACTCTTCTATGTCTTCTTCTACGAATTTTACAGTTTTAATTCTTATATTTGCTAATCCATTTTGAGTTAATTTTTGTATACAGTATAAAGTCCTACTTCAATGTTTTGCCTGTGGATATCAAGGGGTTCAAGCACCATTTACTGACAAATTATTTTCCCCTTTAATGGCCTTAGCACCCCGTTGAAAATCAATTGACCACTGATCTATGAGTTTATTTCTGAACTCTCAGTTCTACTCCACTGATCTATATGTCTGTTCTATTCCGGTACCACATGGCTTTGATTATTGTAGTTTTGTAGTAAGTTCTGAAATTGGGAAGTGTGCATCTTTAAACTTTGTTCTTCATCAACACTGTTTTGGCTATTTGGGGTCCTCTGTAATTCCATAGGAATTTTAGGATCAGCTCGTCCATTTATGCAAAAAAAAAGTAGCTGGAATTTTTATTTGAATTCCATTTGAATCTGTAGATTGCTTTGGGGAGTATTATCATCCTAAAATTATTAAGTCTTCCAATCCATGAACATGAGATATATTTCCATTTATTTAGGTCTCCTTTAATTTCTTTCAACAATGTTTTGTAGTTTTCAGTGGTCAAGTCTTATACCTCCTTAAATTTATAGTGAATTATTTCATTCTTTTTGATGCTATTATAAATGAAATTGTTTTAATTTCATTTTAGGATTGATCATTGCTAGTACATAGAAATACAACTGATTTTTGTATGTTGATCTCACATCTTGAAATTTTGTTAAATTTGTTGATTAGGTCTAATAGCTTTTTCTACTGGATTCTTTAGGAATTTTCTCTATATAATAGGTCATCTGCCAGTAGGGATAGTTCTACTTCTTCCTTTCCAATTAGGATGGCTTTTTTTATTTTTTGAGGAAGATTGGCCCTGTGCTAACATCTGTTGCCAATCTTCCTCGTTTCATTTTTTTCTCCCCAAGCCCCAGTAGATAGTTGTATGTCATAGTTGTACATCCTTTAGTTGCTCTATGTGGGACACTGCCTCAGCATGGCTTGATGAGCCATGTGGAGGTCCGTGCCTAGGATCTGAACCAGCAAACTCTGGGCCACTGAAGCCAAACACGCAAACCTGCTACGGGCCAGCCCCAGGATGCCTTCATTTCTTTTTTTGTCTAGTTTCACTGGCTAGAACCTCCAATACGATGTTGAAAAGAAGTAGAGAGAGTGGGTATCCTTGTTTTGTTCCTGATCCTAAGGGCAAAGCTTTCAGTCTTTCACCATTAAGTATGATGTTTGCTGGAGGTGCTTCATAGATGCCCTCTCGAGGTTGAGAAAATTCTCTTTTATTCCTAGTGTGAGTGTTTTTATCATGAAAGGGCATTGGATTCTGTCAAATGCTTTTTCTGCATCAATTGAGATGGTCATGTGATTTTTCCCTTTACTCTATTAGTATGGTGTATAACATTGATTTTCATATGTGGAATGATCCTGGTATTCCGGGGATAAATCCCACATGGTCACGGTATATAATCGTCTTAACATGCTGCTAGATTTGGTTTGTTGTTTTCTTTTCTTGTGATGTCTCTGTCTGGCTTTGGCATGAGGTTAAAACCCACATCACTGAGTAAGTTAAAAAGTGTTGCCTCCTTTATTTTTTTGGAAGAGTTTGAGAAAGATTGGTGTTAATTCTTCTTTAAGTATTTGGGAGAATTCACCAGTGAAGCCATCTTGTCCTTGGGTTTTCTCTGTTGAAATTTTTTAAGTTACTTATTCATTCTCTTTAGTTGTTATAGATGAGTTCAGATTTTCTATCTCTCCTTGAGTCAGTTTTGGTAGTTTGTCTTTTCAGAATTTTTCTCTTTCATCTGTGTTATCTAATTTGTTGGCATATAATTGTTCACAGTATTCTCTTATAATCCTTTTCATTTCTGCAAGGTAAGTAGTAACGTCCCTACTTTTATTCCTGATTTTAGTAATTTGAGTCTTCTTTTTTTTTCTTGTAGCTAAACTTTTATCAATTTTGTTAACTCTTCAAATGACCCACTTCTGGTTTCATGAGTTTTCTCTGTTTTCTATTTCATTTATCTCTGTCTGTTCTTTATTATTTTCTTCCTTTTGCTTGCTTTGTGTTTAGTTTGCTGTTCTTCTAGTTCCTTAAGGTGGATGGTTAAGTTATTTCAGATTTCTCTTTTTTAATGTAGGCATTTAGAACTACCAATTTCTGAGCACTGCTTTCACTGCATCTCATAAGTTTTGGTAAGCTGTGTTTTTGTTTTCTTTCCTCTCAAAGCATTTTCTAATTTCCCTTGTTATTTCTTCTTTGACTCACTGGTTGTTGGAAGAGTTGTTTAATTTCTAAGTATTTGTGAATTTTCCAGATTTCCTTCTGTTACTGACTTCTAATTTCATTGTGTTGTGGTTAGAAAGATACTTGGTATGATTTAAATGTTTAAATTTATTGTGACTTGTTTTTGGCATAATGTTTGGTTTATCTTGGAGGCTATTCCATGTGCACTTGAGAAGAATGAATATTCTGTTGTCGCATGGAATACTTTACATATTTGTTAGGTCTAGTTAGAGTGTTGTTCAAGTCTTCTATTTCTTTTTTTAATCTTTTATCTAGTTGTTCTATCCATTAATGAAAGAGGGATGCTGAAGTCTCCAACTATTATTCTTGATCTATTTCTCCCTTCATTTCTGTCAGTTTTTGCTTCATATATTTTGGGGTCTGACTGTTGTAGTTCTTGCTCACTTAGTGACTTTTTTGAACTAACTTATAAGTCTATATTCTTTGTCGTGTGTGCCCACTTAAGTCTGTTCCCTTATTTTAGTGGTCAGCTAGTGATTCCACAGAGATTTCCTTAAATGCCTGGAACCAGAAAAACAATAAGAAAAAACATTTCCTAGTCTTTGAAAATGGGCTGCGTGTGTCAGAGCATGCCTTCAACGCTCAGCCTAACAGTTTTCAACTCTACCTTAGTCTTTGCTTCCTGTTTGTGCAGAGCCTGAAGGTCAGTCAGAGGTAAGAGTCAAGGAATTCTCAGATCTTTCTGAACATGTGCCCAGCCATCTAGATCTCTAGGAATAGACAGGAGCTTTCCAAATCCCTATTCTCCAAAGCATCTCACAGCCTAGCCTTTCCTCCCAATCCTTTTGATTTGTCTATGTTTGCCCCAACTGTTTATTCACCGTCCCAGATGGCAGCAGCTAAAACATTTTCCATTAAATATTTTTGACAAACGCTCCCCCAGGTAGCCACCTCAGCCCTGGGAGAGTTCTAAGTTAGGTAAAATAAGGCAAACCCTTTGAGTGGGTTCTCCATGGAGCCACGACAGGTTAAAAGAAACTAAAAGTCTTTCTCAGTCTTGTATTATCCAGCAACCCTTCATTTTCTTCCCAACTAAACTTCTCAAGAATAGTCCATAATCATTATCACAGTCCCTCTTCATACTTGATATTTTTTTGACCCATGTGATAGCCAGAATAATAGCACCCAGAGATGTCTATGCCCCAATCCTCAGATACATGGCAAAAGGGACTCAGCAATATTAAAGTTGAAGAACCTTGAGATGAAGAAATCATCCTGGATTATCTGGGTGGTCCCAACCTAATCACATGAATCCTGAAACCCAGAGAAGCTTTCCCAGCTGTGGCCAGTGAGAGAGAGCGCGAATGAGTGCAAGCACTGTACCAACAGAGTGGAAGGTCAGAGATGACCGGGTGAACAGGACTTGGCTCACCATTGCCAGCTTTGAAGATGGGAGAAGGGAATCATGAGGCCCAGAAAGGAATGCAGTCCTACTGATGCCTCAAATTGATCTTAGCCTAGGGAGACCCATGTTGGACCACTGATCTACAGACCTGTAGGATAATATATTCATATTGTTTTAAGCCACCAAGTTTATGGTAATTTGTAGGGCAGTAGTAGAAAACTAATACTCACTATAAATAAGCACCCCCTCAACTTCTCTGAAATTGCTCTAAAACTTAACAATTACTTTATAATCAACAATTTCAATAAATTATTATTATTTTTTTTTTGTGAGGAAGATCAGCCCTGAGCTAACATTCATGCTAATCCTCTTTTTGCTGAGGAAGACCGGCTCTGAGCTAACATTTATTGCCAATCCTCCTCTTTTTTTTCCCCAAAGCCCCAGTAGATAGCTGTATGTCATAGTTGCACATCCTTCTAGCTGCTGTATGTGGGATGCGGCCTCAGCATGGCCGGAGAAGCGGTGCGTCGGTGCACACCCGGGATCCAAACCCAGGCCACAAGTAGCGGAGTACACGCACTTAACCGCTAAGCTGTGGGGCCGGCCCAATAAATTATTTTCAATACTCATCATAACAGGCCTTTTTTGTTATACCATGTTTGGACACTCCCTTATTGAAGATTTCTTCTTTCTGAGCTCAAGACATCAGTCTTTCCCAGTTCTTTGACTTTCTGGATTACTCATTTCTAGCCTGTCTACCTGAGTTTTATTCTTTTGCTCAGTCCTTCATTTTATTTTTTTTTTTAGAAAAGGACTAACTATAACCACAATACCAATATCATCACTGTCCCCAATCAATAACGCCTAGTCAAATATCCAGTCAATTGCCTCAGGTCATACTTGGTCCACACAATCAGATGATTGGTTATACATCTATTTTTTTTAAATCTCTAAGTCCCTCTTCCATACACCCTCCCTGCTCCCTTAGAATTATTTTGTTTTAAAAACTGGATTGCCTTGTGGTTCAGATTTTACTAGTGGTATTCCCATGGTATAGTGTAACATGTTTCTCAATCCTCTGTCTTTTCTGTAATTGGTAGTTAGATCTATACCAGCTCTTAAATATTGATGCTCCCTAAGGATTTGTATTTCTCCTACTTCTGTTCACACCTTAAGTTTTCAAATCTTCTCTTTCTTTTTTTATTTTATTTTATAATTTTATTATTTATTTTTTCCCCCAAAGCCCCAGTAGATAGTTGTACATCCTTCTAGCTGCTGCATGCGGGACACGGCCTCAGCATGGCCGGAGAAGCAGTGCGTCGGTGCATGCCCGGGATCCGAACCTGGGCCGCCAGCAGCGGAGCACGGGCACTTAACCGCCAAGCCATGGCGCCGGCCCTCTTTCTTGATTTTAGCCCAGGGAGACCCACAATGGACCAGTGATCTACAGACTTGTAGAATAACTTTGGATTTTTAAGCCACCAAGTTTATGGTAATCTCTTGTAGCAGTAATAGACACTGCTATACTTCTAAACACTAAAGCCATATTGTTAACTATAGTTTATTCCTTGTGGGTGACCCAGAGTCCTCAAATTCAACATGCCACATAATTAATACATTAATCCACCCTCCAACAAAATATGCTACTTATGCTCCTTTCATGCAAGCCAGAGCATGGGAGTTTACATCAAATTTTAGCCCATTCACACCTAATAACTCCTTTAGGTTCAAACTCCTCTGTTTTCCCAATGCCCCTCATTCTCTAACACCTGATCTATTACAACAGTCTCCTAAACTGATTTTCCTATTTACAGAGCCCTCAGGTCCATCCTTTACATAAGAAGTTGATAAACTTTTTCTGCAAAGATCCAGATGTAAATATATTGATTATTTTATATAAATATTACATATTTATATAGTATATATAAATATAGTAAATATTTTAGGCTTTGCAGGCAATACATTCTCTGTTAGAACTAATCAACTCTGATCATAGCATGAAAGCAACTGCAGACAAAATGTAAATGAATGGGGTGGCTCTGTTTCAATAAAACTTTATTTTCAAAAATATCTGTGGGTCATAGTTTGCTGACCCCTGCTCTACACTGATACCAACATGATATTTTTAAAAGGCAAATCAAATTGTTTTACTCTCCTCCTCAGTCTGTGAGATCTCATATTCATTTCTATTGTGTATAGAATCGAGTCTGCGCTTCCTAATATAGCAATGTCCTTCCTGATCTGGCCCTTGACACCATCTAACTTCAGAAAAACATAACTTCTCTTCATACGGGAAGGGTCAACTATTCTACCTCCAATTTTCTATAGTCTCACCTTCGTCTTTAAGCATTTCAACTACATCCTCTATAAGGGTCACCACTTCTTTGCTGTTCTTTGGATGTTGTAAATTCACCCAAGTCCTGACCTCTTCAGGAAGAATTGTCAGGAACTGTTCCAGCACCAGTAGCTCTAAGATCTGCTTCTTTGTATGAATCTCTGGTCTGAGCCACTGAAGACATAGCTCCCAGAGCTGGCTCAGGGCTTCATGAGGCCCAGACACTTCCAAATACTGGAAATGCCGGAACTTTTGACGAGAGGCTTCAGAGTCATATGTCTCCATGACTGGGGTGGTTTCCTGCTGCCAAGACACATCTGCTCTCAGGACCTCACTTTGTTCATGAGAAGCCAGGTTTTGAGGTTTTGAGATAGCCAGCAACTTGTCCAGAGGCTGCATCTTCCTAGATGGAACTCCCACTGTTGTTTGAATTTGTTTTACCAAAGGATTTCAATAATTCTCAGGCTTGGGCTAAGCGCTTGTGTACTATATACATGCAGTGTGATTTGAGCCAAGTTATATCTCAGTAAGAGAAAAGTTCCAGGAGCTTCAGACACAAGGCCAGTATTCAGGTACCTGAGAGACTGAAAAAAGACACAAA